AAGTTTTGAAAATAAAACCGAATTAATTTTAGAATATGTCATAAAAGTGTAATGTTATTGGAGATCTATTGAAATTGCAAATGAATGCCAGTAGGTGGTTGTGTCTTCTAATATAAATGATTCTAGACAAAAACATGTTCAAACAATGGTAACCAAATGAGAATTATGGCACAGGGATAGTAAAATATATAACTTTTCTTCCTTGATTTAAAATGTACACCATGATTTGAATGAAGCCTATGTTAAGGACTGTGGAAGAAACGCACGGAATATATTTGCAAACCAATCGATACGCTTTCAACAAGATGTTAACGAAAGATGTTTTTTTAAATTTTTCTTTCTGTTTAACTAAAACAATAAAAAAAATGTTCTCAGGGGAAAAAAAATTAAGGGTCAGTAGTCTTGAGGCCCTTAGTCAATGTTTAGCTGATGCCCAGCGTGTGGGAATTCATTTAGCCGCCTTCAAGCAATAAACCAGGATATCCTCTTCCCTGGGTGTCTGATTGAAAGCAAGACATCTGCCAGAAATCACTCTTGAGCCCGGACAGTTCAAGAGAAGCATCTATTTTCTACCCCGTTCCGGGATTTTTTTTAAAAAGCACCGTACGGCTTCGGTGTCTCAATTAGCATTGAGACAAACATGACCCTCGGCGGCGATCCCAAAATCTCTTTGACGTTTTTATGTAAGAATGATTCTTTCTACTCCTTTTGCCTTGCAGATCTCTTGACGGCCCCTCAGCAAGTGAAGAATAGGATTATCAAAGAACAGAAGGAGTTAGCCACGGTAAGGCGAACCTATTTCACTGCCGGGGAATTTCACCAACCGCCGTGAGTTTTAAAGATTCAGCCTCCCCGTTTGTGAATGGGGAAAAGTGGGAAACGCCAACTTTATTAACTGTGTTTCGCCGAAAATAAGACGGGGTCTTGTTTTCTTTTCACCCACCCCCCAAAATAAGCGCTTGGCCTTATTTTCGGGGAGGTCTTATTATTTTTGAGGTGGCGAGCGTGGTCACCTTATGGCTGCGGCTGTGTTGGGGAAGGCTCTGGTGAGGGCTCTGTGTCGGAGGTAGAGAGGGGGCGAGGGCCGTATGCCAGTTATCAGCTGCCTTCGGAGTCAGACATCAGTGAGGCAGAAGAACAGCTGGAGCCTGTTCCCAGTGTGAGCTGCCAGACGAAGGGGACAGCTAAAGAACAGGGGTCGACTTGGGAGTAAGGCCACAGGTGAACGGTGAATGGCCCCTCCCAGAGGGAATAAAAGAGGAGCGAAAGGGGAGTGGAGTTTGCAGGAGACCATTAGTTCACTTCATTGGTTCGTGATTCTCCGAGTCTCCTTGCCGAGTTTTGCAGAGATCGGCCTGGCAGCTCTCCAAGCCAGAGAAGGTCTGTGACTGTAAAT